TCCCAATTCATCTAGGCGGTAGCCTAAGAACACAAGGCTAGACTTGAAAAACTCACTTTTACTAATATTGATTCTTACTCCATATTCCATTAGCCTACTAAGAACTAATTCAATTAAAACTTCCATTTCAGATAGGCTCTTTGAAAACACTAAAATATCATCAATATAACACACTGTGTTACTTATTCCACTCAAAATCTGATCCATAGTCGCTTGAAACAAAGACCCTGCACTAGTGATACCATAGGCTAACTTTTTGTAACGAAACAATCCCTTATGTGTGTTGATTGTGAGCAACTCTTGTGAGGACTCATTAACCCTTAATTGGCTATAAGCCGCAGAGAGATCTAACTTTGAATAAAATTTTGCCCCTGATATCCGAGTAAGGATATCTTCAGGATTCGGTAACGGATAGTGATCCGTCCGCAAGCAAGGATTAATAGTGACCTTGAAGTCCCCGCATATTCGAACTTCATTATTATTCTTGGGTACAACAACAATGGGAGTCGCCCATGAGGACTTGGTTACAGGGTAAATGGTCCCATTTTTCTGCAATTTCTCCAGCTCGTCTTCAACCGCCCCTCTAAGGGCAAATGGTACACTTCTGGCCTTACAAAAGACCGGTTTGGAATTTTCTTTCAAAATAATATTTACAGAACTGCCTTTGATTTCACCGGGTCCTTCCTCAAAAACAGGGGCAAATTTCCCTTTTAACTTAGCGACTAGGTCATCTGGAACGGACTTACCGTTCACGAGATGCACATCCTTACTGGCACATTCCTTGGTAGCACATTCCAATCGACCCGGGGTGACCGCTCTCCAATCCAACTGTAGCTGTTCCAGCCAGTTCCGTCCCATCAAGGTAGGTTGATTGTCTCGGGAGCTCTTGACGACAACGACAGGTAACTTGTAGTATTCCCCCTTCGATGTGGTTACATGTGCCTGAAACTTTCCGAGAACAGGAATATTTTCTCCAGTATATGTTTTAAGCTTAATGTTGCAATCTTCCAACTCCGAGCCAGCCCTTTTAAAATTTTTACAATAAATACTGTCTGGCATGCAGGTGACAACAGCACCGGTATCTATAACCATTTCAATTGGAACCTGGTTAACAACCAAATTGACTACAAAACTATTTGGTTTGTTATCATTAGCATATGCTATGGTATAAAGTTCGAATGACGAGTCCCCAATATCTTGACTGGGACCGTCATCATTGTCCTCATGAGAATCACAGAAATTGATATTTCCATTAGGCCTAGGCCTATTGCCGCTAGGCTTAAACTTATTAAAACTATTTCTAGCCCGACACACACTGGCTAAGTGACCTTTCCTTTTACATTGGAAACAGGTAAAATCTACGAATGGACAAGTTTTAACATCATGCTGTTTCCCACAACGGTAACATTTTTGTTGGTTACCCCTTCGTACCTCAAAACCTTTAGGCCTAACTGCAGATGGTGCAGTAGGTACCTTATGACTAGGCCTACTATTCTTAACATAATTAACTTCATAAGTCATTTGTTTTTCTGGATGCAAGGATCGAACATTGCTATCAGCATTTTCTAAGACCAAGGCGATTTCAAGAGCCTTTGAAAAAGTAAGAGAATCCCCTTCTGCTAGGAGCTTACTTTGAATCTGTGAGGATTTCAAACCACATAAAAACTTATCTCTTAAGGCCTCATCAAGGAATGAGCTAAAATTGCAAGTGGCAGCCAGTTTCTTTAGCTGAATAGAATAATCACTAATACTCTCCCCTTCCCTTTGAATACGTCTGTTGAAGATAAACCTTTCATAGGTTATGTTACATTTAGGAGTGAAATATTTCCTTAAAACTTTGATAATTTCTTCATATTTCTCATCTTTTACTAATTTAGGATGTAGTAAATCCTTTAAGGTTGAATACAAGGATGGCCCCATAACAGACACAAAAAATGAAACCTTGGTTTTATCCTCAATGGTATTGATAGCAAAGAAATGTTCAAGTCTCTCCACATAGTTTTCAAAACTTTCTAAATCCTCATTAAACTCACTAACCTTGCCGATGAGTTGTTTTGCCATGGTTACAGACTGTAGAAAACTTACATAAAATCATCCATAAAACATGTGCTCACGATGTTGCAACATAAAATCATCACGCAGAAACATGAAATGAAGCACTTTGTCTCAACACGAAAACCCGATCCAGGCCTAGCCCACGAAATAATTTGATTAACCACTCAATTAAGTTTACAGTACTATACTTTTCACTGTAAATCGCGTGAAATAATTTGATTAACCACTCAATTAAGTTTACAGTACTATACTTTTCACTGTAAATCGCGTGAATACGCACTTACTTCCTCGTCGCCAGTTATTATAACGATACTTTAAAAACGTAACCAGAATATAACTTACAAATTACGGTTACAACTACAGGCAGAAACGCGTGTCTATCTATGCGTACCTGTGTCTCGTACTCGACTGAAGCTCCGATCGTTTCTCTAGGGCTTTCCAGAAGCGTAGGGTCAAAGTACAAGGGTCGTCTCATTGTCTCTACCGAGCGCTTCCTCTTGCTATTGTATTATGTAGGCTACATGTTTAAAACCAATGTCCACTTCTTGACTTTATAATATTAACTAAATATCTTGAGGTGTAATATAAAATAAATAATAATCTTCCGATTTATAACAAATATGACAACATTCCTTAGTGTAGCTATAGCATCAATTATTGCTTCATATTGATGCTTTATAAATGACTTGTTTTACAATTTTATTCAAGCCTCTTCACATGTAGCTTACTATATAAATTTAAAAAAATGAAACTTTGAGCAATACTTTACAAAACGTATACAACCTCACTTTAAAACCAAACATAAACCTCCTCAATCTACATAAAGCGTCACAAACATCTTATTCAAATAAATAAATAAACACCAGTTCATTTTACTGACCAGCTGTTTCATTTACTAAATTAAATTAAATCATGTAAACATTGGAAGCATGCCAGGCGTGTAGCCCTTTGGAAATCAGCCTATGGGGCAGAGCCCTTAGGAAATTCGTCCATATCAATACTTTTCGGCAAATCTACACACTCTAAGCTTCATTTTGATGTGCCATATGCCTATATTTTTATTTGGTAAATGACCTTAACCGTTTACATAAAATTTGATTGTATCACTTTAATAATATAATAGATATATATATATAGATATATAAAAATTTGAACGAATGGTGTTTTTGGCCTCTGGGGACATCAAAATGAAAAAGTAAATTGGTCCCGGGCTTAGGTCTTACCATGAGACCTACGGTAATAGCTACTTCCCTATAGGGAAATTCGCTAAAATCAGCTGATTTGCAGCTTGAGCCAAATACTTTCGATAGGTAGTTTTTGTTGACAGTGTAGATAAGATCAAACCAAGTATTAAAGTTCCAGGCACCTATAATAAATTCTTGTAATGAATTCTTAAAGACATGTAGAATTAATAGTAGTAATTGAGCGGAGCGAGCAAAGCTCTTTGAGATGGACCTTATGCAAACTAAGTAATGAATTAATGAACTAGTAATCAATTAACTCAATAACGGCTGAACATATTTAATCCAAACATTCCAGGGTTATTTTTACAAACAGTGTTCATACAAACATATTTCAATTTGATAATGACTGTACAATTTCAAACCAACATAATGTTTTAGCATTAGCCTTATGAGTTGCCATGATGGTTACAAGGTAACAACATGGATGTAAACAAAGAATTATAGCATATGCTTGTTAGGTTGTTAGCAAACTAATATACAATCTAAATACAGCACTAAGGAAAACCCCCTTAGGTGACAACCTTTGATCAAAGAATACAGAGAAAGTAATACAGAGCATTTGGAAACTACCACTGTATTTAAGAGGAACACTATCTTACTGTAGTAAAAGGTGAAGGAAGTAGTAAAGGCGAGCAGTGCAGGGGGAACCGTATGTGGCTGTTTAATATATATAAAATACTAAAATGCTATGGGAAGGGAGGAAAACAGGTATTTTACACTAAAATGTCTCCTTAAAAATATCACTTTTATTCCCTATTCAAATAGAATTAGTTTAACGAGTACTTAGGTTTGCTGCAACAGAGAGGGTAAAAAAGTGCTTTTGTTGTAAAATGTTAATATTGTAGTTTAGTAAGAAATGAATGTATTTTCCAAATTTGATCAAAATATGTTCATAAACATGCAAAGTAGAACAGTTGACTTATTCACCATAAGAATAACATGGGAATTTGAAGTTTACAATTTTTTTTGAATTTTCTCTGTAACCATTAGGCACATAACAACGCTTCAATAAACTAAATTATTTGTTTTTTTAAGCTCTACAAAATGGTTTGGAAAGAAATTGTGAAATTTTGTGTTTTTAGGGTCAAAAATGGGAAAACATATTTTTACCCCATAAAACCCCCCATAAACCCCTGTTCCCATAGTCCAAGATCATGCTGGTTGCAAACTCGTTCGAATAAATGTAGGTTTACACGTTTATACCAAATTTAATCAAAATCGGATCATTTTTGCTTGAGTTATCATGCTAATGGACACACATTTATATATATGAATTTGAACGAAAAAGTAAATCGGTCCCGGGTCCAGGTCTTACCATGAAGTACTACATTAATAGCTTATTCCCTATATGGGAAATTCGCTAAAACCCAAGCTTTAAATTTTGTATATAATCTATGAAATCCATTGTAGATGTGTGTGTAGGGGCCTAATGATGTCATACAGTAGATTAAAAGAACCAAATTGTCCCCTTCTGCGTCCTCTCACCGTTGCAAATTCAATGCATCAGTATAATGTCAACAAGCACAGTTCAAATATACGTCAACCCCGCACAAAGGGTGGGTACTCTGCTAGTATATATATACTTGCTATAACTATAACTGTAACTACTATACTCTATTTATTATTACAAACAACAATTATTTGTAGGGCCTACTAGTAATATTCTTGATGATTGTTATTTAAATATATTTTTATTTGCAGAAAAGGCAAAAACTTTTGAAGAAAAGTTCCAAAAGTTAAAAGAAGTGTATTCAAAACTACGTGATGAACACATCCAGCTTATAAGACAGGTAAAAATTGTATTTAAATGACCTATAATACTAGGATTGCTTTCAGAATAGTGAATGCCAGTTGAGCAGAGCCATCATGTTGCATCATTTTATTTTATGTACGAAGTAAGAAAACTAAACAACGTCTATAGATGAAATAAAACTGATTTATTAATTGAAATTAAAAGTTTAATCAAAAAATTTAGTCGGCATCAGAGCACTCAAAACATTTCCAACATGAATCATTCTTCAGAACCAGTAATTATTTTCAGTTAATAGTAAAACAACGTGAATCTAATAGCTTACTCATAGCATTGGATAAACACAGACTTGAGAGTATTTAGTAAGTTAAAAATAACTGATTGAAATTATTGTTTTAGTCTTAACTTATATTTATTACATGAGAAAAATCTTTAACCCTAGGACTGCCATCTGCCGTTTGAACTCATGTGTTGACTTAAGTGAATGTAAATTACTAACACCTAAGTTTTTACTGTTACAATAATTATCTTTTATTTTACTGAAGTACACATACAACATTTTTACTCAAACATATCTTATTCAACAATTCTCATTACAACATAAACAATCCTAACTATTTACACATGAACAGCTGTTACCAACATAAATTAAATTAAATACAGAACAAGTAACAGCAAACATATTATATAAAAATAAAATTACATTCAACATCATGTGTGTGCCAGGTGCCCAACCGTCATTAAACAGCCGTTCGGACATTTTTTTTCAAACGCTTACTACGCAATGAAAATTATCCAGAAGCGTAATAATTTTTATACCGTTGGAAAGAGAAGATTCTAAACTTTTATTTTCATATGTAAATGAACCTCGTAGCACTAACTTACTTACTTACTGCCGTGGCTCTTGGTACCCAAGGTGGTACTTTGCCTCGCCAACACATTGCCTCCAGATTTTTCTATCCATTGCCTCCTCTTCCCTTCTTCCAGTCTTCTTAGGTCTTTTCTAACCTGGTCTCGCCATCTCAACTTGGGCCTTCCTGGTGTTCTTCTGCCCTCCGGATTGTTCAAAAGGACGTTCTTGACTAAGGAGTCGTCCTCTTTCCTTAGTAAATGGCCAGCCCATCTCATTCTCCTACCTCTCACCTCGGCCACTATGTCTGGGTCCATATATAATTGCCTCAACTCCGCATTGTGTTTTATCCTCCACTCTCCATCTTCAAAGGTTGGACTATATATTTTTCTCAACATTTTGTTCTCAAATACTATCAAACGTTTTTATGTTTTTTTACTTAACACCCAATTTTCTGAGCCGTATAACAGAACTGGTCTTATAATGTAATTAAATCTAAGGCTTACCTTACGATCCAATTTAATATATAGTGGAGACCTAGGTTTCTACGTCGAAACGTTATCGTCAGTCCTTTGTCTCATAGGTTAGCTAAACATTTTGTTTGCCATCTATGAGCTACATTTTAGCTAACCTATGAGACAAAGGACTGACGATAACGTTTCGACGTAGAAACCTAGGTCTCCACTATATATTAAATTGGATCGTAAGGTAAGCCTTAGATTTAATTATGTTCAATAACGATCCAGAGGCTATATCTCCAAATGGTCTTATAATGGTTTTCCTATACGGAGTTTTGTTTTGTGTGATAGTATTCGAGAGCTTAATAGTTTGTGGGATGCTGATAAACTTCTGTGTGCTGCATTTATTCTTTGTTGTATTTCCATATCTTCTTCATTATTATTCGTCAGCATTACTCCCAAATAAGTGAAGTTGTTTACTTTTTTAAAGTTGTACCCTTCTATTTCTATATTGTTGTCATTGTTTATTTCTGTTGCTCTTCCACACTCCATTATTTTTATTTTCCCTTCATTTATTCTTAAACCAACTTTCTTTGTATAATTTAGAAGTTTTGTGACCAGCGCTTTCAACTCTTCTTTACTCTCCGCTATAATTGCAACATCATCTGCAAATGCAAGGACGTTTATTTTGGTCCCTATTGTAATTCCAGCTTCTGTTTGTCTTACTTCTTGTAGTGCTTCCTCTAAAGCTAAATTAAATAGCAATGGGGACAAACCATCCCCCGTCTTACGCCTGTGCTTACATCAAACTTTTCTGAGATTTCACCATTTATCTTAACCTTACACCTAAATTCTGATATGCTTGATTTTGATAAGTTTATTAATTTTTTGGGTATTCCATACTTTTCCATAATCTTCCAGAGTCGTCTTCTACTAATTGAGTCATATGCTTTGGAGAAATCGATAAAAAGGCAGAGAAAGGTTTTATTACTTACTTTCCGTGTCCGGAAAAATCACCAGCTTAGTTAGATATTATTTTTCCAATAATCTGCCACTTATATGGCTTTGTCATTTGCCTCCTTAAGATCGAGCCAGGAGCATGTTCTGTCCATATCTGGACAAACTAGTAGATGCTCATGGTCCTGAGAGGCCCCACATGTGCAGTTTGGTTCTCCTTCATAGTACCCCCACCTCATGAGGTTTACTTTGCACCTCGAGACCCCACTTCACAATCTATTTAGGGTCCTCAATGTGGGGTAAGGCAGGTGACAGCCTGCAGGGAGTTCCTCTCTGAGTTGTACTGGTGGCTGTTGAGCCTCCTGCCTCCATAGCTGAAGCCTTAATACTTCCGGTGTTACTGAATGTATCTCAGTGGTTTTGAGGAAACTCTTTCTTGACCGGAGTCTAGAGGGCTGCTGTTGATGCCCATATAGTGGATGACAGTGGTCGGTCACTTGCTTCTGTCGTTCTACTGCGGCTGCCACGTTTCTCCTTATATATGGTGGAGCTACCCAAATGAGAGGGTATATACTGTCCACTGGGGTTGGTTTTAAGCATCCTGACACGACCCTTGCAGTTTCGTTGATGGCTATGTTTACCTGCTTTGCATGGGCAGAGTTTCTCCACACTGGTGCTGCATATTCTGCTGCTGAGAAGCTAAGGTTTTATTGAACTCATAGTATTTGGCAATTGCCTCCTTCAGTATGAATATTTGATCGGTAGTTGATCTACCTCTTGTGAAGCCTGCTTGATGTTCACCTATTATATTTGATGTATACTCCTCCAATCTTTTTTGTAAAATCTTTGATAGTATTTTGTAGGTGCAGTTGAGGAGAGAAATACCTCTGTAGTTGGTGCACTCTTTTTTGTCACCTTTCTTATGAATCGGAATGGCTATCGCTTCCTTCCATTCGTTTGGAATCACTTCTTTTTCTCAAAGAATCTGTTCCTAGCACTAACAGATCAATATAACTGTTATTATAATTTGAACAATATTTAATGCGCGTAACATTTTTGAATCGCAATTGGTGAAATCTCGTAACACGTTATCATGAAACAAATCTACATAAATATGTTGATAATTGACACAGAGTGATGATAGTCATACCTATTTGAAGCTAAGAAAACATTCTATCTCTATGTTTTGGTGCCGTTTAGTATTGAGATTCAGGTGACACATTAGTTGTAACTGGCTTGTTGTTGTGGTTTGCCCCTGAGCTGGTAAGACGAATATTAAGTGTGGTTTATTTACCTTGTATTTTTGTTCCAGCTCAAAAAAGTTGTATGTAAGTTACAACCATGGTTTCGACGCCGATTGTGTCATGGTCATGTAGGACATGTCGAGAATCAAAGCATTGTTGTTGTTGTGTTCTCCAGCTCAGTGTTCTCCAGCCGGCTCCCGTGACGGTACAATTAAATAAACGCAGGCCTGTATTCTGTCCCCAAAAACCTTTTGCTAAATATTAAATATTATTGTTGTTATATTAAATATTAAATATTATCCGTGTCCCAATGTTTTTGTGATTTTGACGACATCCAAGCGACCGACTGTGACAACGACAACAATGCTTTGATTCTCGACATGTCCTACGTGACAATGATGCAATCGGCGCCGAAACCATGGTTGTAGCTTCCATACAACTTTTTTGAGCTGGAACGAAAATACGATGTAAATAAACCACTATTAATATTCAAATGTTCAGCGCAAATTTATAGATTTTTCCCAATTTCCGTTTCCCCCCCCCCCCGTAATTCTGGTAAAAAAATTATTTGAAACAAATCAACCACATTTCCATGTAGGGAAATAAATTGTCTACATTTCATATATCTTAGATTGTCTGTAAAAATGTTGGTGTAAAAATTCTAGGCCTCTGCTTTTGAAAACCATTCCAAAACTTTTTTTAATTTTTACACATTTGACAAAATAAAAAAAAAACCAGTAACAGGGATTTCTGATATTTCATTGTATCCTAAATCTTCTTTCTTATCTGAACAAAACAAGTATGAATATGACTAGGTTATCAATAGTACTTTAGGCACTGTGAACTGTTAAAAAAACCTCTGCAAAATGGCAATTTTGCACGGGCACCAAGCATTTGACCATAAATCAGGTCAGGGCAGTCCTAGGGTTAAAATACCATATATCTTTGATTCTTTGCTCAATGTCTTCAGCCGAAGGTTTTTTCCTTTGTACTGTATTATTAGGTCGTATAATAAACATATGCTTTGGTTTTTTGTTTACATTTACATTTCTATTTTGTAACCATCATGGCAACCCATAAGCCTAATGTTAAAAATTGAACAGCTTTAGTTAGTTTTAAATTGTAGTATAGACATAATCTCATTGAAATTTTTGCTTCACAGACCTCCCTACTATTTGTCTAAATAACTTTGGTAAGTTTAGCTGAAATTTGATCAGCAGTTATTGTGTGATGATGAAACAAAGTTTGCATTGAAGTTGATTCCATCGCTTCGCTCTGCTCAACTATACGTACTCATTTATTTATTTATATTCTTATCCAGATTTTAAAACAAATGGTTATTTTGTTTTATTTAGTTAGTCGATTTGTTGTTTTCTTGTTTTCATTTTATTAAGTTTTGTTCCTCTGACTTTCGCTAAGTAAAGCACTGTTTCTTGTTTTAAAATAAAACTAAATCTTTAGATGAAGAATTCCATTTAATGAACTACAAGTTAGTTTGTTTACAAGTAAGTTTTGTTTACAAAAACAATAT